TAAATTAGGAACTTCCCAGGTTCACGCCAATCCAGATCTACGTTTGAATCTTGTTTGCAGTTCCAATTTTACTCTCTAAGGGCATGTTTATACTAGGAAACTATTTCAAAATAACTAACATTGATTTAATTAACTCCTGACATAACAAAATTGAAATATCGTGTCCCCGCTACAGGGAAGCCTCAAAATTAGTCTGAGATATCCTTCTTTATTGTCGACATGCTACCTCAACTTAGAGCATCAGGAAGCACTGAGAGTAATTACTTCAAATTACTCTGAGGAGTAGTTACTCTGAGGAGTAGTTATTTCGAAATAGCAACACTGGAGCACCTACACTACCACTTCTTTCAAAATTGTTATTTTGAAATAGTGTGACTTCCTGAGGAAAGCAGGAGTACAGATTTCAAAATAAGGGGGGTTATTTTGCTATAACTCCCTAGTGTAGACCAGGGCTACCAGGCCAAATTTGAACATGCAAAACTTTGAAAAATTCTTGGTCTCAGTTTTGAACCTCTAAACACTTTTCAATCAAGAGTTTGGATTCAGATCATTACAAATATATTGGTCCAAACTTTGCTGTTGGTTACATGGGTTTATGTCCATAACAATTTAACATTGGAAGAATTACTTTAATGTAAATCTGGTGTGAATGTGAGCAGAATTTGGTCTATGAATTCAGATCTAGCGACAGAATTGAGGTCTACAATTTGCATTTGAGCCCAACTCTCATTATAGAACCACATAATCGTAAGACATAAAGAGGCCTCGAGATCATCTGCTCCAGTCCCCTGTACTCATGGCAGGGCTAAGTATTATCTAAACTCTCCATGAGAAGTGTTTGTCTAATTTGCTCTTAAAAGCTCCAATGATATATTCCATAACCTCCTAGCAATTCATTCCAGTGGTTAACTACTCTGACAGGAAGTTACTCCTAATATCCAACCAAAACTGCTCTTGCTGCAATTTAAGCCCATTGCTTCTTGACTGACTCAGAGGTTCAGGAGAATAATTTTTCTCCCTCTTCCTTGCAACAGTCTTTTTCATGTACTTGAAAAAGATAGAGTTTATTTAGTCTGGAGAAGACCGAGAGGTGACATAGCTTTCCATCTTCCCATCTTCATGTTTTCTGAACCTTTAATAATTTTTGTTGCTTTTCTCTGGACTTGCTTCAGTTTGTCCACATCTTTCTTGAAACATGGTTCCCAGAATACAGTGCTCCAGTTGAGGCCTAATAAGAGTCAGTAGAACAGAAGAATTACTTCTCGTGTCTTGCTTACAACACTCCTGTTAATACATTTCAGAGTGGGGGGGGGGGTTCAACCATTTTATACTTGTGTTCTATTATGAACCCCTATGATCTTTCTGCTGTAGTGTTTCTCTCTATGCCATGATCTAAATCACTAATGAAGTTATTGAACAGACATAGACCCAGAAGTGATCCTTGCAGGACCCCACTTCCTGTGCCCTTGCAGTTTTAGCCGAAGAGTGGTTCACAGTAAAATCTTACAACCAGTTATACACCTAGCTTACAGTAGTTCTGTCTTCTTTGTATTTCCCTAGTTTATTTGAGGTCATGAAAGACAGTATCAAAAGCATTACTAAAGTCAAGATATACCACACCTACCACTTCCCTATTTTTGTTGCCAATACTTATGTTTCCTGTTAACTCACTGAAAACTCAATATGTAATAATTGACGACTTTCTGCAGAATTTTTAAAGAATATTTTTTCAGCCTTTACACGTAATACTATTATCTAACTGAATATACTGCCAGCAGCTTAATATTTTTTAAATTCTAAATTTTATTCTCGGACTGCATATGAACTAGAAAATAACTTCTTCCCTATATTTGTTTTCCTTTCTTCATGTAGAAAATACTGATCTATTTTTTTTTCTTCTGCTTTTCTCATGGAACTGCAATTATTATGACTTTATTTTTACTTCATGAATTACTATTTTGTTTATCCACTAGCATGAGTGATGCCACTTCGAGGCATTATTTTTGTGGGTTGTATTTATGTGTGGATTTTGTTTGAAATATTTAAAACTCCTCAGCAATAGACAGGTAATTTTGTTTTTAAAAAGACATGGAAGATTGAGTACAATAGATATTTCTTAATTTATAATAAGTTTAAGGTTCATCAACTCCCGAGTCTAAATTACTTCCCTATTCCTTTCAATGTTTATCGTTTTCTTTGTTATCTTGTATATGTATAGATAGTGAAGCCTCTTATTTGCTTCTGTTGTAGAAAATAGTACCCTTAGATCCCTTTCAATGAAAGCCAACATCAATTATGTTTGGTCTCCAACATTATTTAAAAGTGGTCTTTTAAATTAACTTCCACACTCTTACATTTCACAAAAGCACAGTTAACTGTGAGACTGCCAACATCTTTCCATTTTTATATCTGCCAAGGGAATACTATGACATTAATGGGATTACTCTCATGTTTAAAGCTGAACACATCCTTAAGAGTTTTTCCTAGAAAGGGTTTTAAAAGACTATTTTACATCATGTATTGCAATATACCTTAATACACACAAGTAATCTTAAAATCCAATAATCACGTGTTTCTTTTTCTCCCCTTATAAATGAAGACTTTTTTCAAAGTGAGTAATTATTTACCTATCCCAGGGTATGTCTAGACTACATGGCTCCATCGACAGAGCCATGTAGATGAGTTTACTAGACATAGGAAAATGAAGCGGCGATTTAAATAATCGCCGCTTCATTTACATCAAAATGGCCGCCATGCTGTGCCGATCAGCTGTTTGGCGGCACAGCGGGGCAGTCTGGATGCGCCGTGGTCGACAAGTGAAGCCTTTGTCAACCGCTCTGGTATGCCTCGTGAAATGAGGTTTACCGGAGCAGTCGACAAAGGCTTCCCTTATTGACCGCGTCTCATCCAGACTGCCCCGCTGTGCCGCCAAACAGCTGATCGGCACAGCATGGCGGCCATTTTGATGTAAATGAAGCGGCGATTATTTAAATCGCCGCTTCATTTTCCTATGTCTAGTAAACTCATCTACATGGCTCCGTCGATGGAGCCATGAAGTCTAGACATACCCCCAGTGTGCGATGGTCCAACTTTTTCTTTTAAATTCCTCATGGAAAACCTACTCCTTCCATTAAGCCTTCAAATGCTAACCCTCATTGCTGTGACCTAGCAGCAATATTTAAACAGATTTTTATGTGCTAGACACAGCATCAAGTGCAATGTCAAAGTTGAATGAATAAATGTGTGGAATGTGTGATTCCATTACAGAATATTAACAGCCTAGGGATTCTCCATGTATAAGGTGTAGAAGGAAAATGTACTGCTGCAAAATTACCCCCATACTCTCCCCTACTTGGGTGTACAAAGCATACAAGGAGATAAATAGTGCACAAAGGGTCTTGTATCCTACCCAAGTGCATACCCTTTAAGACTCTGACAGCATCCAGGAATGGGAATAAGCACACTTGTGTTATGTCCAGGAAACACAGATGAGTAATGGCAGTGTCGTCATCATTTACAAGCTCATTTACTGAGTGCAAAAGCAGAATGAAGAGCCAAGAGGAGACAATGTATGACAAGTGTTATATCTGATTGTAAGGCGATATAAAGAGAAAAGTAAGCGCCCACATCTGGATACCTGTGTTTTGTTACTGTACATACAAAGATGCCAAGAGGTCAAAGCACTGAGACATTTTTATTCAGCCTTGGGAGACTGCTCATGAAATAATGCACTCCCTCAACCCCTAATACACGCATTACAAGATACATCCAATAGTAGGTGGCCTTTATCTCCACCACATAACCCCAGCCACAAAACACCCTAGTAGTGTGACTATAGTTATACAATAATACATCCTAGTCCGGTGCCTGTGTGTACTCCATATCCATTCCTCACTCTCTGGAGCTTCCATTGTGTGTCTTTGCCTGCACTGATTAGATGAGGTAGTTGGAGCAGTGAAATTTGCAACTTGCCTATATGAGACTGTTTTAGCACAATATGGGAAAGTTAAGGTATGAAATGCTAACAACCTAATGCTGAATTTAAAGTCAATAGAGACACTGCGGGTGCAGCTGAATTATTATTTATGTATTTCAATTATCCTATAGTTGTATTAAATTGTGATTCACCTGCATGGCAGTTATAGCTTTAAAGGGTAGTCATTTTAATAAAGTGGCTGTCTTCCGAATCAGTGATCTAAGATTTATATTTGTTCAACATTTAATGCTAGATGTGCTTTTCTCCATGTTTTCCTACACTTTATATAGCATACAAGAAGACTTATTTTTCTTACACTACATATTCATTTTGTTTGATTAGTTGTGTAGAAAGATTGCTGGTGAATTTCCTATGTATGCAATACTAGAATCCAAAATTACTGTGTGGAGATAAAATTAGCTTTTGACATTCATTTTCCCTGAAAATAGCAGAATCTGCCTTTAATTGACCACCTCAATCATCACAGAGGTTTCCTGTGTACAGAGGCTGTGCTTTTTAATATCTGTTTTTCCTTTGTAAGGTGGCCTTTGAGTACTATAAATGAAGGTGGCCTTTAAGAATTATAGAAGCATTCAAATTAGAGCTGGACCCAAGCCACAAAGATCATATCTGATTTGGATCCAACTTTCCCACTGTTACAAAGGTGCTTAGGCCAAGGTTTTAGGGTTGTCTTCTTCCTGACAGACAGACATAAGAAGCAGTTGTGAAATTTAAATCCAGATACATATTTCAGAAGTATTTGAATCTAGTGTTTCAGTTCTGGTCCTATTCTCGTTTTACCATATTAGTGAAATCTAGTCAGAGAATTTGTTAGCAGAGAGGGACATTGCCCAATAAAATATCTTTTTCTCGCATGTAATAAAATAATATAACCAATTCATTCCCTAAGCAGATAATATGGCAAGCGAGTGATGTGTTAGCACTGTGACTTAACCTGTTTTATTGTACGTCTGTCAGTCATCCTCGTCAGAAACCCCTGGTAACTAATGCTTTTATTTTCCAGGGCTGGGAGAGGGTTCTGCCCTTCTTCATCCAGACAGCAGATCCCACCCTCGATCTTTAGAGAAGAGCGCATGGAGGGCTTTCAAGGAATCACAGTGTCATCACATGCTGAAACATCTTCACAACGGAGCCCGAATCACTGTGCAAATGCCTCCCTCCATTGAAGGGCATTGGGTCTCTACTGGGTAAGGATAACAAAAAATTACGTGAGGGGAAAACACTACAAATGGAAAAGCATTTTTCATCAATACTTGGATCCTGGTTCTAAGAGCTTTTGCATGAATACATTTCAGTAGCAAATTAAATTAAGAAACTGTTTCATCAGCCTAGGCATGTTCAAGTGCTTATCTGTACTTCATTGACATTCAGTCAGAGTGAGATTTCATTCCAGGGTCTCAGCTGTAATATTCATCAACCTATTTTAATTTAGTTTTGTTAGGCTGTTTGGGCCCCATAAACATCTTAAACTCCCAGTCCTATAATCCTTACTCAGACAAGACTATGACAGACTTCAGTGATAGCTGTTCTTGAGTAAGGACTGCTGGATTTGGCCCATAACTATCCCTGAAAGCTCCTAGGGTATGTCTACACTACAAAGTTAATTCGAACTAACAAATGTTAGTTCGAATTCACTTTCATAAGCGCTACACTAGCGCTCCACTGGTTCGAACTTAATTTGAACTAGCGGAGCACTTAGTTCGAACTAGATAAACCTCATTGTACGAGGACTAATTTAATTCAAACTGGTGGGAGGCTAGCCCTCCCCAGCTTGCCCTGGTGGCCACTCTGGGCACCACCACGGAAACTCGTATGCCCCCCCTCTCATCCCCGGAGCCCTTAAAGGGGCACGGTCTGGCTACGGTGCCTGTGCCAGGTGCAAGCCTGCCAGCACCCAGCCAGCCGACCCTGCACCTGGCACGGATCGAGCCACCCACCCGATGGCCCCCCGCCCCCCCCCTCCTCCCCGGACCAGGCCGG